GCCACGTGGAGGTAGCTTTATTAGCATAGCCTGTTCATCTCCTGCTCCCTCTGCATTACTGAGATCCCTGACTCTGCCCTTCTCCTTCCCATCATCCTGAGTTTGGTACCCCTCTCCATTCTTCCTGCCTAGCTACTGGCCAGTCAGCGTTTTATTATACAAATTCGAATAACAAATTTTTACAGTGTACAAGAGGATCACTCCACAGTGTGTCCTCACACGAAGGCTTCCTCTACAAGGCTGTGATAAAGTAGGGTTTGATTTTAAGTCCCCAAATCAAATTTGGCCACTTCCGCTCTGTGAGAGAACTCTGTGACTGCACACGTTGCAGCCTGGGCTCTGTTGTCAATCTGATGGGTGTTTTTCTCCATCCGCCATCCGCCTTCCTCCACCTCCCCCACCAACCCTCTGTGCCCATCAAGCTGGCTGCTACCAGTAGCTCAGATGTGGGCAGATGTTGACTCTGTCCGGGAAATGGGATTTTGAGTCAGCACCTTCACTGCAGAGGCATGACAAGGTTGACTGTGACCAGTGACCAGCATCAACAAGAGACATTCCACCAGGGATGTTGGGCCCCTTGCTGCAGCCGGAAAACACAGCATGTGAACTTTGGGGTGGAAACTGCTCTTTTTTTTTTTTTTTTTTTTTTTGGTTTTACGAGAGAGGGTTTCTCTGTATTGTTTTGGAGGCTGTCGGTCCAGCCCAGCCTTGAACTAACAGAGATCCGCCTGTTTCTGCCTCCTGAGTGCTGGGATTAAAGGCGTGCGCCACCATCGCCCGGCTTGAAACTGCTCTTTTTAATCGATGCTTTCTTTGGGCCATTGTTGCATTTGAAAATTCATTGCTTAGCTTGCGCAGCAGCGTTGGAAAGCTAAGGATTAACTCTTCACTCTTTTGCGAAAAAGAGTCATTTACTTACTGTCCAATAGCCAGTTATTGAACATACCCAGGAGCTAGATAGATGGACTAGATTTTCCAAAATAACCTCACTTAAGGATAATGGATGTTTTCTACAAAGTCAATTTATTAATTATATGTTAAGTCTGGTCTTAATGCCAGCGATTCTTGCTTGTTTTGCGTTCGAGCCCATGTGGTTCTTTTGGCTTCCTAAAGGGCTGCGACATTCACTGTTCCTTTTCCTGGGTGGGGATTTTTTTCTCCAGTTTTATAGAGAAGGAAAATGATAGCCAATTTGTGACTTTCTGGGTTTATTCCGTGCATAGATGCTTGGAATTGACCATCTGAGACTATTTCAATTTCTGATTTTTAAGTAACATTCATTCTTTGACAGTTTTACACATGCCTATAATGTAACTGGGGTTCTGATGAAGAGAGTGAGTTAGGACAGACCTTCTCAAACCAAACGTGTGCACAAACCACTTGAACTGGAAAGGCCACACCCTTAGCCAGTGTTGAAGGACAGTTTTTGTTTTAGACAGGGCTCACTGGGTAGACCACACTGACCTTGAACTCACAGAGATCTGCTTGTGTCTGCCTCCTGAGTGCCGGGAGTTAAGGGTGTGCTCTGGCCTTCCGGCCTTGCTTCTGAAGTCAGCTGCAGCTGGACCTGGAGAGCCTGGGAAGGACTGGGCACCATGTGGGACAGTGGGAGCCTGCACACCCCACACCCAGTATGGCCCAGTCTGAGTCTCCCCAGGCTCTCACCCGCAGGCCCTGGAGCAGGACGGCAGCCTCACGGTCTCCTGGGATTTTTTTCCAGGGCGTGTGGCTCTGCATAGCATGGCTGATAGGCTTTGGTCGGGCAGCCGCCGCCTCTCAGTCGGGTGGGACTGGGATAGTAAGTGGCCTCCTTTCCAAGCCTCCTGCAGCCATTTTATTTCACTCTCTGGGTCGTTAATGTCCAAGTCCAGCCGGTGGCCCGAAGGCCCAGCATGATGGTCTCAGTTCACAGTAGACAGCGGAGGCCTGGCGTTAGCATGGCATCAGAGACACACATCCTGCCTCCCTTAATCTTATAACGAGTCCCTACGGGCTGAGGAGTCCCCTTGGGGGTCATTTTGAAGCCAGTACCAGTTATTGTAATAATTATAAGGATGGTGTAACAAGCATAGGTTCTGGACGCGAACAGCCAGGAATCAAATCCCAGTTCTACTTAATGTTACGGGGTCTGCTGATCTGGGCACGCATGCCGGGGCACGCCCAGATCGTTGTCTTTTCCTTGTGAGACCTTAGACAGGGTGTGCACTCAGGACAGCTTGGGTTCCTCAACCGTAAGGCACAGAGGACAAGGCCACGTGCGAAGTGAGTTGTGGGATGAAAAGGGAGCGCCTCACGCTGTGTGTGGCAGGCGGGAGGCACCCAATAAATACTAGCTATCACCACACAATGATACCTATTTAATAATTAAGGAGTTGGGGGTTTTATTGGAAGCAAAGTAAGCATGTCTGCTTCTTAGTCCCCCGTCCCTCCGGGAAGCTAGAGCAAGTTCATAAATGCCGAGTACCACATCCGCCTGGTGGCCACATCCCCAGGTCTCTCATCAAGAACCTGGGGAGGAAATGAAAAAGCTTGTAGTTCATAAAGCAAGGCTCCTCACGGGGCGCGGGGGGGGGGGGGTGGAGGGCGGGGGGGGGGAGGGCGGGGCGGGGCGGGGCAGGAGCGGGCAAGCACACACTCAGGGCGGTTACGTGGGCAACTCAAAGACAAAGCAGCACTTTGTCCTGCGGCTTGGCTTTTTGTCATAATATTTAATTAATTTTGAAATTTCAAAATAAAACATTAGAGTGTGAAATGTTTGCATCTAATAGGAGAACGAGCCCATGTTGAAGAGGTTGAGAAAGCCTCTATAGTCTTTGAAAGGCAGCCAAGCTCACAGGAATGACAGGTAGAGGGAGCCATCTGCCCAGCACCTTTCCGCCCGCCCTGTCAACATCCAGACATCTCCAAGGTGGCAGTGGGCCTTCAATGTCTGCCTAATTGGAAAAAGCTGGCCCTTGCACAGGGTTCAGTGTTCCAGAATGTTCCTTTTTGCTTTATAATGTTAAAGCGTGAATCTCGAACAAATGCTCACGGACACCAATGGAAATGCGATGCCCCTCCATCCTTGGGTTTGCACTGTTACCGAAGTTGTCTTGTAGGACATGAGACACGGATCCCTGATCCACTCCGGGAAATCCACTAGCCACTCCGGGAAATCCTTTCCATCAGGCTAAGGAAAACTCCCTGGTGAATCTCTCTTCTTCCTGCTTTAAAATTTTCTACCCTATTGACTAAATAAAATTTGAGGAGTTAATAAAAGTGGAAAAACACACTTCTAGAAATATAGCACACAAGTGTCAGGCTGATTGAGTGTTTTATAAGCTGAATTTGAACAATTGTGGTGCAGAATATTACCACCTTACCTCAGGGGCTCTATCCTCCTTCCTCACACTTAAACAACCCCAGGAGACTCAGTGCACAAGCTGGCCTTTTCCTAGTGTGTGTGTGTGTGTGTGTGTGTGTGTGTGTGTAATGATGTATATGCATATGTATATATGTAGGTGGAACCAGAGAGGGTGGTGTCAGCTGGATTGGATGGAGATGTGCCCAGACTGTTAAAGCACACTGTGCAGGCGTTTCCAGAGAGGACTGACAAAGGGCCAAGGCATCCCTGAATGTGACTAGCACCATCCAACAAGCTAGGACCCCAGATGGAATAAAGGGAGAGTTGGGGTGGAGAGCCGGCCAACCTAGGATTTGGTGTCTGTGTCCAGCCACCTTTATGGGACTTGCTTTGCTCTGCTCTTCCATACCCTCCCCACCATGAGGACCTAAATCTTTGAGATCATGAGTCAAAATCAGTCTTTACCCCTAGGCTGCTTGTGTGGGGGCATTTTTGACACAGGCGAGAAAAGTAACCAGTGTAGACATTCTGTGCTATGCTGGATGCCTTGTGTGAGGGAGACTGAGGACTGGTTGGGAGCACTGTAATAGTCCCTTCAGGGTCCCTGCTGTGTAGTGCCCACCAGGTCACCTTCATGATTGAAGCCATCTCTGGCAGAGGTGGGCATGCGGTCCCTGGCGGGGCTGGTTTCAGAGATGGTGTCTTAGGGTTTCTATTGCTGTGAAGAGACACCATGCCCATGGAAACTCTTATAAAAGAAAACATTTAATTGAGGTTTGGCCTACAGGTTTAGAGGTTTAGTCCATTATTGTCATGGCAGGAAGCATGGAAGTGTGCAGGCAGACATGGTTCTGGAGAGAGAGCACTGAGAGTTCTACATCTGGACCAGTAGGCAACAGGAACAGAACGCCACAGTGGGCCTGGCTTCTGCATCTTGAGACCTCAAAGCCCACCCCCAGTGACACACTTCCTCCAACAAGGCCACACCTCCTAATAGTGCCACTCCCCATGAGCCTGTGAGGGCCATTTTCTTTCAAACCACCACAGATGGCATATGATTTAGGCTAGTCAGGTGGGATTTCCCAGTGGGAAAGGCGGCAAGCAGGTGGCTCTGACCCTCACAGGCAGCAATGCATCATAGCCGGCTCCTGAGTCTGGCTGTCTCTTCAACCTTCGCCATATCACTGACCAGTAGTGAGATCTGGCATGGGTTACTTAATTTCCCCAACTTTTATCTTCATCTCTGCATGTACGTCGGAATTGTTCCTTTGGGTTACTTCAGAGACTAGATGGGAACCATGGCAGGAACAATTCCACAAGTGTTCTTTCATTCTTACCTAGATGTGATGATCCAGGCTAGGCTGAGGTGGCCTGAACACCACCTGCAAGATGAGGATTGAGGTTGTTTTGGCATGCTACTGTGTCCATCATACCTCTGAATCTTTGCCATTCCCCATGTCTAGCCTGCCAGCTTCATTCTCATAGAAAACATCTGTTCCTCTTTCGTGGAAAAGAATGGATGGGTGTTCCTTAAAGCAGCCATCTCACACTTTCCCAGGTAGACACATCCCCATCCCTCCAGCCTGCAGGGCTGCCCCTAAGCAGTTCTTGGAGGGGGGTTGTCATTGTAATGTAACCGTTTTCCTCTGCCTTTCAGGGAAGCCCCGTAAGCAGAAAGGTAACTCAAAAGAGCCTCAGGAAGTCCCTGAAACTGAGCAGATTCACTAGGCCCCCTCCCTGCCAGAGTAAGCCGAGCCAAGCTTCAAGGAAGATGCTCAGAAGAGGAAAAGCTGCAGAGAAGACTTTGAGACTAGACCAACTTCCTGGAGGAAGTGGAAACCAGATGGGCAGCCCGGCAGAGACACCTGAGACACGGAAAAGGACTCTAACCTGTTGAGCTGGCTGCCTGCAGGCTGTATAGTGGGCTCCAGGTTCCCAGTTTTTTGTGAGCTGTCACTCATGCTATACTGGGCTTTGATGACACAGCTGTCTGGGAGACACTTCTGCTCCTGAAAGTAACCATTCACCATATGCCATGTGGCCCCAATAAACTCATTGGTTCACTAAGCTGGACTTTTGTGGTGAAGGGACTCTATCTGTTGAGCATGGCTCTGACAGGCTTTGTCCTTCTCCTTGCTAAAAACTGTAACGTTCCTAAAGCTAGCCATAAGGCCTATTCCCTTATTAGGCCACTTCCTCCTCCTGAGGCTGGACACCAAGCACCAGCTATCAAAGTATTGGAGTCCAGAAATCAGAAGGCCCCTTTGGCTCACCTAATTAACATGCCCAGTTAAAATTACACACCTCATCCTAACACCAGCTCTCCCCATGTGCTCCACCTGTCTCTTTTCTATCCAGAAGTAGTCCTTTGTCCCTCTGGGACAAACACCACTCCCCCTTTCCTTGTCCCCTTCCCCCTTTCCCTCCTCTTCTATCTCCTGTGTTTGTCTTTTATTCCCTGCCCTGTGCCTCTGGGGCAAATAAATCTCCTTTGTGCTGAGAATTTGACTTTCAGGTCCTAAACTGATACTTTTCCTTTCGGGTAGTTATATGTACTCTGATCTGTTGGGGGATTCTTAGTAGATGTGTGTGCTGTGTCCCCAGGAAAAGTTTTGTCACACAACAATTATCTACAAAACTTTAGGACAGCCTCTAAGACATCATTTGCCTTGTTTGCTCTGTTGCCTTTGAGTTTAGGCACAAAAGCCGGTGCTGGCGAGGGACATGATGACCGTTTTAGAAGGAATCAGACAATGAGGTTGCACTGAGCTGTGTTGGTGACATACTTGAGAGGAGGAGGAGGACGGAAGGAAGGAAGGAATGTGAGGAGGTAAGAAAGGAGGGAGGGAGAGAGGGAGGAAGGAAGGCATAAATGAAGGACAGTTTCCACTTAGTTGCGGAAGTGAAAATTGTTCATTGCTGACCTGTGAATACAAGCATGTGTATTTTAAAATCTTTATGTGTGATGAAATACGTATATAGGAAGCTTGTCTTTGGCTTGCTAAGTGCTGTAATTTGGATCTCAGTGCACCACAGGGCCATGTATTAAAGGGCGAGACTCCAACCCACAGCCTGTTGGTTAACTTGCAGAAGTGGGGTCCAATAGGGGCTCTTGTGATTGTCGTCAGAGGGTTCAGTGGGACCCCAGCCCCATCCATACCTGCTGTGAGGTAAATGGATTTTCTCTGCCATGTGCCCCCACCATGGCACCTGGGTGGCCCACTCACACTCACACACACGACGCTTCAAAGTGATCTGTCCACCTGAACACAGGCCAGAACCTCCAGATCACTTGTGACAAAATGAACCTTTGCTTTTTCTAAGTTGATTCGTCTCCGTTATTTGTTATTCTAATGGAAAGCAAACATGCTGAGGTGGGGTGGTTGTCCCAAGAGAAGCTTCTCTGTGAGCTGCTTATATGCCGGGTTCCCTCCCCATGAGGTACACTCGGCACTGGACAAAAAGCGACCGCTAGACTCTGGCGAGGCACACTTGGGTATTGGCAGGTGCTTTCTAGAAAGCGAACAAAGAGAGACTGTCACGTTAAGGAACGTGATAGAGGGTACTTGTGGCAAAGATAAAACTGAAGCTTTCAAGTCCCGATTGGACTATCGGAAAACGTAAACGCACCCCGCCATTTTGCTAAGTGGAGATATTAGCGCATGCGATACACTGGGATCTTATGTCCATTTTTCTAAGTAACGAGACCAGTAATTGTTCGCGAGTGACACTGTGATATCCGATGCATGCATGCACCGCAGAAATATTAAGCTTACCCTGCCCTCTTACCTACTAATCAGTCTTTGCACTGAGAGCTTTGGCAGCCATTTGCAGTTTTGAAACCTACAGCACGTTATTACTAACTCAGTCGCTTGGTAGAGAAGCTCACGGGAACGCACCCCTCCCGTCTAAGAGGAACTCTGCACGTTTTGTCAAGATTGCGCCTTTCACCGTCTCCTCCTCACGCCCCTGCCTCTGCTAACCGCTTTTCTTTTTTATTGTCAAGAGATGAACTTATTTTAGATTCCACGTGGAAGTGAGATCATACAGTGGGGATCTCTCTGTGTCTGGCTTATTTTACTTATAATTTTCTCCAGATTCACTTATGGTATCACAGATATTAAACTTTCCTCATTTTTAATGGCTGGGTAGCGTTCAGATGTGTGTGGTACCACATGATTAATTTACCCTTTGTGGGAAATCAGATTGCTTCCATATCTCGGTTATTTGGACTAGCACTGAAATAAGTGGAGTCCAGGCATCACTTTAGGATCAATTCCAACTCCTTTGGGGGCATACCCAGGAGTATGATGAGCAATACGGCGATTTTATTTGGGAGGGGTTGAAGAAACTCTTATAGTGTTTTCTAAAGTGACTATTGACTTACATTCTGACTGCAGAGTCTGTGGTCCCCTTTACTCCACATTCTCATGAAATCATTTTGGTAATATCTATTCCTTATGTTTTTGTTTGTTTAGAAAAAATAAGAATTATCCCATACATAGTTCTGTAGGTGATCCTCCAGATCCGAGGTACTGCCTGCCCCATGTGCCCTCAAAACTCTGTAGTGGCAAAGCCCTCTTCCCCTTTCCTAGCTTCTGTTGGTTTGCTGGTAATCTTTGAGGGTACAGATTTTAAATTAATTTTTTTAGCATATGAAACAATAGGTTTCATACATATTTATTATATTTTGCTCATATTAGCCAGGCATTGACCTCCCTTGCTCCGCCCTCTCCCCCGTCTCCTGTCCCCCAGCTGGTTCCCCTTCTGTTTTGATGCTGCACATAACTGGGATTATGCATGAGAGAGAATAAGCAACACTGGTCTTGCCCACCGAATGCTTTTCCTTAGCACGATGGTTCCCAGCTCCTTCCCCTTTCTTGCAAACGGCACCATTTCATGGCTCTTTAAGCTCAGTGTGTGAATCCCGAGTCTTCCTTACCCACAGATCTCCTGAAGTGACTTCGGGATGCTGCCATGTCTGTGACCAGCGCAGCAACAGACAGACGTGAGACTATGTCTGTGGTTCACTGGCTTAGACTCCTTTGGGTGTTCACTGGGAGTGGAATGGCTTAGTCTGTTTTTTGTGTCTTGAGGAGCCTCCATCCTGGTTTCAGTGGTGGATGGAGTAGTTTGTAATCCAACCCAATAGGGATTCGTTTTTCTGTGTATCTGCATCAGCATCTTATTCATATTTTTGAAGTTTTAAAGTCAGTTTAGTTTTGAAGTGGTTGGTTTCATTTACAGACACATCACACACACACACACACACACACACACACACACACACATACACACCATTCCACATTATTTTATTGACTTCCCCTTCTTTATAATTTGTTTTCTTGATGATAGGCATTGTTTGGACAAAGATAGAATCTCAATGCAGTTTTAATTTATGTTTCCTTTGTGGCTAAGAATGTGGAACACTTTTTCCTCCGTATATTTATTGGTCAGTTCTATTTTTCTTTTGGGAACTGTTTGTTCAGTTCACTTTCTTGTTATTGTTTGGATGATTAGGGTTTTAATGTTTATTTATTTTTAGTTTTAGTAGATTTGAAGCCAGGTATGGTAGACCAGTGAGGACTTTGTGGCCATCCTTGGCCATATAGTGGGTTGGAGGCCATCCTTGGCTACCTGAAACCTTGTATTATAAATATTTTTTGGTCAAATAAATTTTAAAAAAGGAAAAATATTTTTTAGTCTAGATATTAATCCCCTGTGAGATATGTGGCTAGCACATTTTTCCTGAGTCAATAATTTCCCTTCACCAGAGTGATTATTTTCTTTGTGGTACATACATGGTTCAAACTTTTGTGAGCCCATCTGCCAAGCTTTCAAATTCTTTCTTGAGTGGTTGGCACCTCTTTAAGAAGCTCCTTGACTTTACTTACGTCTTGAAGCTATCAAGTCTGTTTTCATCTAGTAGTTGCTAAGTTTTAGGCTTAACATTTCTTTTTGTGTATGTCATAAGATAGGTATCCAGCCTCAGTCCTCTGTGTGTGACTATTTCATATTTATGGCACCGTTCTTTGAAGAAGTAGCCTTTTATCCAATTTATTGAAAGTTATGTGACTGTAGGCACATGCATTTACTTCTGGGCATGCTATTCTAATTTTTTGTAGGGGGGGTGTGTGGCGGACACATGCGTCTGTTTTTCTGTGACAGTGCCTAACTGTCTTCAGTTGCTATGGCTCTGTAGTATAATTTGAGGTCGGCTAGTGTGGTGCCTTCAGCGTTGCTCTTCTGCTTCAGATTGTTTTGACTATTTGGGGTTTTACTGTGCTTCCTCATGAGTTTTAGGATTTTTTCCCAGTTCTGTGTAGAATTTCACTGGAATATTGGTAAGGATTATATTGACTCTCATGGTAATACAGCTATTTTCACATTGTTAATTCTACCAGTCCATGGACATGAGTGGTCTTCCTATTCTAGTATCTTCTTCAATATTTCTTTCCACGGTGTTAAAACTTTCATTTCTCATTGGTTATTTTGATGTGTCATTGAATTTGGTTTGCAAGTATTTTGGTGAGAAGTTTTGCATCTATGTTCACCAAGGAAATTGGTTTATAGTTTTCTCTCTTGTATTCTGACACAGTTTGGGTATTAGGCTAATACTGGCTTCACAGAATGAGTTTGGGAGTGTTTCTCTCCTTTGATTTCATGGGTAACTTAAAAAACATTGGTATTAGCTCCATGTGAATGGCCTAGTGGAATTCAGCAGTGAGTCTATCTGGCCTTGGGTTTTGTTGTTATTTTTGTTGATGGGACACTCTTACTGCTTTAGTCTCATTGCTCATTACAGATATTTGTAAGTCATCTTCATTGTCTTAGCTTGATTTTTACAGATTATTTGTGTCCAGGAGTTTATTTCTTCTAGGTTGTCCACCTATTTGGAATTCGGCATCTCTTACTTTACATGTCACTATGATGAGATACCCCGACAAAACCAACTCAAGGGGCAAAGGGGTTGACTCACGCTTTGCAGGTCCCGTCCATTATCATGCGGCAGTCACATCAATGGAGTTTGAAGCAGCTGGCCAAACGGTATAGACAAAGAAGCCAAG